GTAGCAAGCCTAGTCTTAATGGCTGTCAAAGGAGGCACATGGCTGAGAAACCATATAGTTGTGAGGAATGTGGAAAGGGCTTTGACTTAATAGGAAAACTTAATTCTCACAAAAGGTTTCACACAGCGAAACCATATAAAAGTACAGAGTGTGGCAAGAACTTTGCTCAGAAACTACTTAATTCTCATCAAAGGCTCCGCACAGGAGAAAGACTGTATAAATGCACAGAGTGTGGAAAGAGCTTCAGTGCAAACTCTCATCTGACTCGACACTTAAAGATTCATAAAGGGGATAAACCATATAAATGCCTGGAATGTGGAAAGAGCTTTATTCAGAAAAGACAGCTTAATTCTCATAAAAGAATCCACACGGGAGAGACCCTATAAATGTACAGAGTGTGGAAAGAGCTTTTTTGAGAACAAAGTGTTTACATGTCACCAAAAGATCCATACAGGGAATAAACCATTTAAATGCAAAGAGTGTGGAAAAGGCTTCATTCAGAAAGGAAAACTTCATTATCATACAAGAATCCGCTCGGGGGAGAGACCTTATAAATGCCTGGAATGTGGAAAGAGCTTTATTCAGAAAGGACAACTTAATTCTCATAAAAGAATCCACAGGAGAGAAACCATATAAATGCACAGAGTGCGGAAAGAGCTTCCGTTTCAAAAGTTCTCTTAATTGCCATGAGAGGATCCATACGGGGGAGAAACAATATTGCTGCAGGAAGTATGGAAAGAGATTCATTGAGAAGGGAGCCCTTACTATCCATAAGAGCAGTGTTTCCCAAACTTGACAATTTTAAGGCCTGTGGACTTCAACTCCCAGAATTCCACAGCCAGCAATGCTGGCTGTGGAATTCTGGGAGTTGAAGTCCACATGCCTTAAAGTTATCAAGTTTGGGAAACACTGCATAAGAGGATCCACACCGTATAAATGCCTGGAGTTTGGAAATGGGTACTCAGAAAGGACAACTATTCATAAAAAGAATCCATACTATGGAGACACCACATACAGTAGTCCTCGACTTGCAGTCGTTTGTTCAGGGTCTGTTCAAAGTTAACAATGAAAAAAATGAAATACTGCAAAATGAAAAAAAGGGACTTAGATCAGTTTTCACATTTATGAACTTTGCAACATCCCCACGATCATGTGATCAAAATTTAGGCAATTGGCATGCCTTTATGAAGACTGCAGCATTCCGGGGTTATGTGACCTCCATTTGTAAACTTCCACAAAACCCAGTTATTGAGGGAAAGCAGATTTGCTTAACAACTATACGATTCATTTAAGAACTGCACTGATTTGCTGAACAACTGTGACACTAAAAGTTGCAAACTAGGGCGACTCACTTAACTATCTTGCTTAGCAAGTGAAATGTTGGGCTGAATTGTGGTTGTAAATTGAGAACTGTCTGTACTACTGTCTTTCCTTTTGAAATGTGAAAAGACCCGATTCCATTATCTGATTTTGTTGGCTAGAAGGGGGATGTTATTCTTCATGAGCAAATTTTATTCTTTGCGAGAGTGGCGAATTTTATTCTTTTCCTGAAATGTCAAGCCTACTGTATACAACTCAGTGTTTAGCCGCTCAGAAAGTGGAGCTTCTAGCTATTACAAATGTGACTTTAAACTAGACAAAGGGAGTTCCTCATTTTTCGGGTGCTATATGTACTAATTGGTGATTAAATTACATTATTGCATCTGATTTCATTATTATGCAGGATTATTATAATGCCCCAATCTATTTTCAACAGATGTTAATTGTTCAAACAGGCAAGTTGTCAATGCTGCTAACATTGGATGTTCTTGCTTTGTCAACAGATGAAAATGCAGCCATTTTCTCTATTCCCCTTTTCTTACTTTTAGAATTAGTTGGTGCAGGGAAGGGGGGATTGGGATGTGAGTTCAGTTAGTCGTAATAATAACTCTGCCGTGGGAACCCAAGAACAAACTGGGTCCAGAGCTGATAACGTTTTGGCGGGCTAGAGAGCTGGGGAGAAAGCCCACACTTAAGCTAATTGGGGAATGTGCTTTATGACTTTATTGGGGGTGGGAATTATACTTTGTTACTTTGTATCCAGGGGTGGGGAATTTAGTTTTTGGGTTCAGCTATGTAGTGCCAATACTTTGTATCCTGAATAAAAAGATTCTTTAAGGAAAACAATGGCTCGAAGTTCTTTTGAAGGGTTTCATCTATCGGAACTATGACAAGTGGTGTTTCTCCTACATTGTTTTACTCCTGATAATTATGAAGTATCTGCAAATGCTAAATTGCAAACCTGCACATGGGAAATACCCAAACATAACGGCACTCATACTTTGAAAAATGTTGCCTGGGGCTTGAGGTGCAACACTACATGCAGCAGATTAGCTGATAGGTTGCATTGGACTGGTGGCATTCATAGTTTTAAACCATTACTAAATTCCTGGCAAGGAATTTGTATTGTGAACAGCAGGGGTTCCTCTAATCTCAGCACAAGAAATTAAACTACCAAAGGAAATGGTCTTTTAGAGGCACAAATGGTCTTTTAGATCCCCTGCAATTGTGATCACATGACCTCGGGATGCCACAACAGTCATAAGTGTGAAAAGGGGTCATAAATCACTTTTTCACTACTGTTTATTTATTTATTATACTTATATACCGCTTTAAGTGCAAGCACTCTCTAAGCGGTGTACACCAGTAAGCAATGTATGTATGTATATATATTTACATTGCCCCCAACAATCTGGGTCCTCATTTTACCTACCCCGAAAGGATGGAAGGCTGAGTCAACCCTGAGCCGGTGAGATTTGAACCGCTGACCTGCTGAACACAGTCAGCTAAAGTGGCCTGCAGTACTGCACTCTAACTGCTGCGCCACCTCGGCTCCTATTGTAACTGTTGTAACTTTAGTCACTAAATGAACTGTTGTAAGTTGAGGACTACTGGTATAACATTGTAGGCAGCATATTACACTTAGGTTTTAATGGACTCATGGCATTCATACTTTTAAAACTTTACTAAAATCCTGTAAGGAATTGTTACCATTTCTTGGCTGCAGACAACAGAGATTCATTTGGTCTTGGCACAAGAAATTAGTCAAATTCAGTGGTCTTTTTGATATAACTAAAAAAGGGCAGTAGTTTCTAGCATGCAATTACACAAGAGTGAATTATAAACAGTAAAGACATTCAAATTTTGGCTGCATTTGTTGTAAACCAGGGGTGTTAAATTGCTGGCCCATGGGCTGGACGTGTCACGCGGAAGCCGCACCCACCCCACTGGTGGCAATGGCAAAACTGTCCTGATATGTCATGCGATGTCATGTGATGTCATGAGTTTGACATGTCTAAGTCTTTCTTAAATAATGACACCTCAAAGAGCTGCTTTGGATGAAAACTTTTTTCTGAAAGATACACTATGGCATGATAGGCTGTCATTAGATCAATCATTAATAGAGCATACGGAGGCTGTACGTACATTAAGCAAAACTTTCTGGATGTTTCATGAAGGCTCAGTTACCTAAGAGAAGATAGCCAGAATAGTTGCCTCCCTAATTAGGGATGGAATGGTAGAAGAGGACTTCTCCTAAAATCCACTCTCATCTCTAATTTTAAATCTGTTCAACTCCAGATTGTTCCTTCTGCACCACGGGGCCAGTTGTTCAACCTCCCGTCTACAGTAGTGGCCAAAATTGTGGAAAGTGTATTTTTGAGGTTTGATGGCTAATAACACCACTCTTTTTTTTGGAGTAGTACCATAAAATTATATATCAATGGAAAGATAATTTAATCAAAAATGTAATGTAACATAGTTTGTTCAATTGTCTGTGCTGTATTCTATTTAAAGTTATAGCCAAATAACCAGAAAAAGGAAGCACAACTTGCTTAGGTTGATATCAGATAGCTTTCCTTCATCTGATTGTAGTCAAGGAGAGTGAATGTTTAGAGAGCCAATCAGGTGTCATCTTGTTTTGGCAATGAGCCAATCAGATCACAGTAGGATTCAGTTAGTGATGTCATGTATTGAACCTAAGGAGGACATTTGTCAGTGTGTATGTGATCACTATCAAGTTGGTTGGGTTTTTTGTGTTCTTTCATTTAGTGAGCTTGTAAAGACGTAATAAAATTAAAGTAACGGTGCAAAGAGTTGACAGGTCGCCCAGAAAGCCATGTAAAATAGTATTATTAAGTGAACAAGGCTACAGTTATAAAGAAATTTAAAATAAAAATTGGTGGAAACTTAACCAAAGGTGGCATTTCTACTGTACACTTTTCCCAAAAGGTTTCCACAATTTTGGCCACTACTGTATGCCTCTCTTCCAGGAGGCTAACTAACACGACATTTTCTGTATGCTCCCCACTGTCTCTCTCTCTGGCCTTTTTCTTTCTTGTTTTCTTAAAATTTAGCTAAGAACAGAAATGGAAAAGCAAAGCAAATAAAGGACAGACTCAGCTCTAAAAAAAAATATACCTTCGTTGAGTGTCACTCCAGGATACAGCCGAATTGAGACCAGGGAGAGGACAAATAAACTGGCTTGAAGGAATCTCCAGAGTATTTATTCCCTTATTTCATAATCAATCAATCTACTGCCTGGATCCTGCCCTGGGGCTCCTATGCCCCTCTTTCATTTCCAGAGCTCCATCAAGTCTTTCTCTCCCACTTCTTTCCCCTGTCCTAGGACATCCATCTTCCCAAGGGATTCTGGGAAAAGAGACACCCCAACAAAGAAAGCAAGAAAACACTTTCTGTCCCAACGTCGTTTTGTTTATTACAGCCCCACTCCCGTGCCCATCATCCCCGACCTCCTCACCGACATATTGTTTCTCACCCCCCCTCCGACCAAATACTCCGCCAGCGCAGGAGTTCGGTCTTCGACGTCACAAAGGAACAGAGCATGCGCAAAAAAGACTCTTTGACAGCACGACCTGCGGTTCAGAAGAGAGCCGAGGCTTCTGCTTGTGCTGGGGGGCGGGGGGGGAGGGAAGAGCTTGCTCGTCAAGGGGAGGAAACAACGTTCGCCTATGGGCTTTTCCCTCTCTAGGAAAGAGAACTCTACCTCTAGGAGGTCCGACCTCCAGGAGGCCAAGACGGCGCGTGAAATTTTGGCGGGAACGATTTGCAGCTGCTCTTCTCCGCCTCAGAAGCTCTGGGAGCGGTGCCCCCGCTCTCCGTCACCGGGAAAGGGGCGGAGCGAGGGGAGGGGCGGGGGAGTGGGTCCGCCGTGACCGAGGGCGGCCTCAGAGGGAGCTTTCCCCCGTTCGGGCTGCGCCGAAGTGGGAGGCCGGATGGAGGCAGGAGCAGCAGCAGCGGCCCCCGCGGCACTTCAGGCGGGGAGCGGTGGCGGCGACCCGAGAGGCCTTCCCGAGGGGCCCCACAGCTCCGAGGCCGAGCGCCGGCGCTTCCGCAGCTGTCGTCCCCGAGAGGACGAGGGGCCCCGGGCGCTCTGCAGCCGCCTTCACCGGCTTTGCCGTGGGTGGCTGCGGCCCGAGCGGAGCGGCAAAGCCGAGATGCTGGACCGGGTGGTGCTGGAGCAGCTGCTGGCCCTGCTGCCCCCGGAGCTGGCGGGCTGGCTGCGGGAGTGCGGGGCGGAGAGCTGCGCCCAGGCGGTGGCCCTGGCCGAGGGCTTCCTGCTCGGCCCGCCGCCCTCCTCCGCCCCCCGGAAGCCCCCCAGAGAGGGCCGGCAGGTGAGACAATTTGACCCCGAGGGATGCCTGGGATGGTGTTTTTATTTAGCAGCCTCTGTCAGAAATAAGAGACATTAAGAAGACCTCTGCACTTCTTGGGACTCTTCATCTTTTGAGGGCTTACTTGTTCTGGAGGCAGATGCTTCGTTTTCCTCTTGGTGATAATTCCATGGGACGAAAGAGAAATTCACTCAGGGCTATAAGAGAGTGCAAGAGTTTGAGGGGGGGGGCAGAACCCCTTCTCCATCCTCTCCTTCTTTCCTTCAGTGCATGAATGAAGGATTTGTTCCATTTCAGCTGATTTTCTTCAAATTACTCATTCTGATGAATGGCAAAGCAAATCTTAAAAATCTTACTTGCCTGCTTCTCTTCTTTACAGTCACTGGGAATATACATTTAGAGAAAATATGTTGTTACGTTTATATTTGGTTTGAAACATGCGGAGCAGGCCTTCGTCCCACAGTGGATAGACAATGGCAAAAATGATGATGATGATAATGGTATAGTGCAGAGGTAGGCAACCTTGGCTCTTTTATGACTCGTGGACTTCAACTCCCAGGATTCCTGAGCCAGCCATGCTGAGGGGAAAGAGAGGTTTCCAAGCTGAGCCAGGCTGGCTCAGGAATTCTGGGAGTTGAAGTCCACGAGTCATAAAAGAGCCATGGTTGCCTACCCCTGGTATAGTGTAATAGTCTATGGCAGGGGTGTCCAACTGCCAGCCCACGGGACTGGATGCATCATACTGAAACCGCGCCCACCCCTTTGCTGGCAATGGGAGAAAAAAAATCACTATACATCACGCAATGTCATATGTTTGACATGCCTGGTCTATGGGAATGATGTCAGGAATGGTTGAAAAGCCAGACTGAACAAACATCACAAAAAATTTTCTCACTCCCTACAAAGAGACTGAGTGTGCGTCTCCCTCACAAAACCACCTCAGTGTTTATCCCAAAGTCTGTCCGAATTGCCAGGTTGGCGGTCTCTCCACTCCAAGAGGCGTAGGGAAGCCATAACGAAAGGAAGGTCAATTCCTTCCCATTCAAGAGCTTATTTTTCCTTTTGGAGTTAATTCCATGGAATGAAATTCAACCCCGAGGGCTATAAGAGAGTTGTTTTTTCCCCCATATATTTTATTGATTTTTTTAAAACAAAAAAAATCGCTTAATAGTTGGTAAACAATGTGTTTGCTGGGTTTACATTTGTAATGAAAAATCATTAACAATTGGTTTCTATAATCCATAATCCACATAGTACATTTAGTTGATTTCCCCTTTTCCCCAAAATGTCTTTTTTGCATACCTTGAAATAATACAGCTCTTATTATTTTGATAAATTACATATATGATTTTTTTTCCCCAATATTCCTAGAAATAATGATCGCACCAATATAATATTTCTTTTCTACCTAATCATTCTGGTTTCCTCATCTTATATCCTGTTACAGTCCTTATTTAGATTTGTTTCTCCCTATAAAGTTCAAAGTATTCTTGCTGGTTAAGATTTTCTCAACAGTTAATTACATTTAAAGATTTAAATCCATTTTTCCCATATAAACCATCTCAACAGTTTTACATTTCTTAAAGAATAGGTAGAAACAGTAAAGAGAAAGAGAGCAAGGATAAAGAAACATAAAAAGTAAAATACTACTTAAAATATATATTCCTCCTAAGCTAATATATATTCATTCCCCAAATTTCTTACTCTTTTTAACCATGATTAAAAATATATTTAATCTTTAAATACTCCATTTAATATGCCTAGTCATCTACTCCTTTAACTTTTATTCAAAACATTTTTTCTGTTTTATACATTATAATTTCCCTAAATTCAGACACATTTAATTATCTAAAACATTTCCTTCATCTTCTAGGCCATTTCAGCAGTATTATATTACTTATGTCTTATATAAGAGCGTCTTAAAGCTTTGAGGGAGGAGGCCAGAATCCCTACTGTGCACTGCCTTTCTTTCCTTTAATGCATGAATGAACTGAGGCACTATTCCATATCAGCTGACATTCTTCAAACTATTCATTTTCATTTATGATAAAAGAAATCTTATTTTGAAGTCCTGCACTCCTGCTTCTCTTCTTTACAAACAGTCATACATTGGTATAGTGCAGGGGTAGGCAACCTTGGCTCTTTTATGACTCGTGGACTTCAACTCCCAGAATTCCTCAGCCAGCCGTGCTGAGGGGAAAGAGAGGTTTCCAAGCTGAGCCAGGCTGGCTCAGGAATTCTGGGAGTTGAAGTCCACGAATCATAAAAGAGCCAAGGTTGCCTACCCCTGGAAGGGTTTGTGGGAATGATGTTAGGCAAATGGTTGAAAAGCCATACTGAACAACCAAGGTATCTTAGTCCCCACAAAGAGACTGGATGTGCATCTGCCTCACAAAACCATCTCGGTGTTCATCTCAAGGTCTGTCCCTAAATTGCCAGGTTGGTGGTCTCCTCACTACAGGAAGCAAAGGGAAGCCAAAAGAAAAGAGAAAATCGATTCCTTCCCACTCAAGAGTTACAGATTACTAAATCTAAAGGAAAAGGCTCCTAGTAGAAGAGATAGAACAGGTATAGATAGGTACATCCACAAAGGAAGAAAGGCCAAAGCTATCAAGAGAAGGATACAAGATAAAGGAGCAACTCCTGATCAGAATGAAAAGAGGAAAAAAACAGAGGCAATGAAACATTTCCCAACAATGACAGGCATTTACCCAGAAATAGCCACTTTCAAATTGGAATCCCTGAGTTCTCTTATTTTGACTTGAGTTGGGGAATTATACAGGTAAGGCAAGTAAATAACAAAGTTACTGTGTTCTGAATGTGGATCATAAACCAGACTTCTTTTTCAGATGCAGGAGCCATTCACAGGAGAGAACTCAGCAGAGCTCCAGGAAAGAGAAAATCAATGCAGTCCTTCTCAAGAGTTGCTTTTCAAGAGGTTCCAACTAGGGCTATTTCAGCAGGTAAGTCTAAGTTTCTTCTGAGAGCAACAGAGTTCACTTTTTATGAGCTGCTTCTACAGTATAGCCAGATGCTGAATCTATGTGTAGTTGAACACAGTGTCTCCCCCCCCCCAATGAGCCTCATTCATTCAACTTTATCATTTTGGAGACACAAAAGACAATTCAGAGCCTGAGAAGCTTGTATTATGCAATGTAATTTATTTGTTGAATATTTTGTAAAAAGAGTGGAGAAACCAGTTAAAAAACTACCATGAATTAAAATTATTGGAATAGTATAATAACCCCTTCAGAAATATTGTATCTTAAGGACAGATTTCCAATGAAGAAGCCCTAAGATCAACACTAAATGTTGATCAGTAAAACTATTCTCCAAGTGCCTTTGAATTTCCAGGCCCTTCTGAAATAGGCCATGGAAGAATTTTTATTCGTGGTGTCCCCTTTTGTAAAGTATATAGAATTTCCTCCCCAAGTCAGGTGAGCCTCTGGATTCTATTCCTTAAATCCTACTTGCTGAGTGTTTCCAAACCAGCAGGGGTACTGTGTTGCTGTTCAACAACTTGGATACAGTCATATTTTGTGCACTTGGAGCACTAACTATTAGGGCAGTGGTTCTCAACCTGTGGGTCGGGACCCCATTTGGGGTCGCATGACCATTTCATGGGGGTCGCCAAACAACGCAGTCCGCCATTTTTTTCCCCTTTTCCCTAGCTGTCCTACTCCCTCTTATTGGTGGCCACAGCCACTTGGGGGTCACCACAACATGGGGAACTGTATTATGGGGTCACAGCATTAGAAAGGTTGAGAACCACTGTATTAGGGTGAGGGTGACTGGAGGCTTCACAGCCACAAGGACCATGTGGACATCCAGACCTAAATTTGTTCTGTAAGAAAATGCCCATTTGTTTTCTTGCAAACCTCTGTTTTATGCAGTGAGAGGGAAAACATCTTTTCTGAGATTCTCTGCTAAAGAACATTCTCATTCTAGGACTCTGATCCTTTTGAGGAGGTCACTGTGGACTTCACAGAGGAGGAGTGGGCACTACTGGATTCGGGCCAGAGAGCCTTGTACATAGAAGTCACACTGGAGGCTTTTAAGAATATTGCTACCCTGGGTAAGTCTGCACTTTGCTCTGTGTTCCATTCATTAGACAAAGAAGGTTTTTTTCAGTGGGAGGTAAACAGAGAAGATACCTGCAGTCTAGTTGCTTAAGGTGATCACATTTCCTTAAGGCCTTGTTAGAAATGCTTACCATAGTTTTGGGAAACACCCCAGATCCGTGGTGGTGAACCTATGGCATGCATGCCACAGGTGGCATGCAGAGCCCTCTCTGGGGGCATGCAAGCCATCGCCCCAGTCCTAGACCTTCAGCTGGGTTTTATAAAAAAAAAAAAAGGTTCAATCCATCAATTTCAACTTCTTGTGGGGAAAAAAAGATCTTGCAAAATTGGAATTGATTGCTTGAACTTTTTTGTCCCACCCAGTCTGCCGTTACCACCGCAGCCATGCCCGCCCAATGGCCACACCCACCCAATGGGCCATGCCCACCCAGTACCTGACGATACATAAGCGGGTTTTGGCTTGCAGTTTGGGCACTCGTTCTCTAAAAGATTCACCATCCCTGCCCCAGATTGTCCAATCAACAGCAAAGTCTTTATGTGGTTCCCAGCTAAAAAATCCTTTGGATATCATCAGAATTTTCTAGCTTACAATTTGCATCCAAGACCTCCAAACTGGATTCATAGCTGATGCCATATATGGAATGCAGATGGGCCTGTTTTTCAGAGGAGAAGTCTCCCTCCTTAACAGCTGGGTTTTTTCCACATAATTTTATTAAGGATTATCTTAAACAGAGAAAACACATACACCAATGTAATACAAAAGGAAAAAAATATTTAGAAAATGCAGAAACATCCCATACCTATGTTTGTATGTATATGAAAGAAATTTCCCCTTCATCATCATCAGGTATGTTCAGCATTAACAACTTACCTATTAAAATGCAACCAAAATACCTCTTCATTCCATATGTCACCAATATTCTATGAACTCATTTCTAAATCTTCAGAGCTCCTTACCATTCAGCAAAGATCCAGTAAAAAATAACAAAAATACCTAATAACATATTTAATAATATATTCCCATTTCCACTTAGTCTCCTTTCGCCTATCCCTCTTTTAACAATTAAACTTTGGAAAAAGGAATTAAAAACTATTAAATGTTACCAACCTTGTCTTCCTCCCAACTATCATTTAATCCCATATTTTTTTCTATATTCTTTTCATTCCAAATTCTTATCACCCTTCAAGTCTACCGTACTTGTAATTTCATTAAAGTAACTTGAATAGATCTCTTATATTTCAATTTAAAACAGTATCATTCACTTGCATTTATAATTCCAGTGAAGCCTTATCAATTGTCTCTAGAGAGATTTGTTAGTTTTTGTTACTAACTTCTGATTCCAGTAAAGAGTTAAAAGGTTAAAAAACTTCAAAGGCCCATAAATCAAATCTTTAAGGTAGCCATCTTGTGCTCTGATAATCAACCTTCAAGGTTTTGCTTTACAACTGATATGTAAACAAGACAGATTTTCTAGTAGAAAATGTTCTTTTGTAACTAACTTCATAGATTTTAAATCTTTTTCACAAAGCGTTTTAAAGCTTTCCAAAAACAACTCTAAAATCACTTCTTGCCTGTATATTGCAATGGATTACAAAAAATAAAGATTTTAGAAAACTGGAAAACTGATGTTCTTTCTAAAATAAACTGAAGAGAATGCCACCCAACAACTGAGAAGGGGGCATTTACAGTTCAGAGCATGATGGAATCCCTTTTAGCTGATAACAAGTGGCTGCAGAAATTGTCAGCTTACAAAAATCAGCTGTATATGTGGATAATCTTCTAGAAAAAAATCCAGCTATTCAAATTAGATTCACCGGCCAGTTTTAGCAAAATCCCATACAATATAAAGTAGAAATGGGCAATCTCCAGTTCTCGCTTTCTTCTAGAAAAAAAATTGGCAGTCCAATCCTGACATCCACCTGCTAGTTTTGGTGAAATCCCTTAAAGAAAAAGGATGGTATTGGTTCTCTTCACCCCATGAGAACTTATCTCCCCCTCCTTCACAGTTCTAAATTCCCATAGAAATTTCTGTTTTCTTTCCAAGCAGGTGAGGCAATGGAGGAGAAACAGGAGGGGTTAATGCTGCTGCAAACAACAAACTACGAAGGAGAAGTGATATTTGACCATCAAATGAATCCAAAAAGACAAGAGAGAAGCCACTCAGAAGGTGGAGGGGAAAAGTCCTCCACATCTCGTCATTTCTTTTCTCTTACTTTACCTAAGAACTTTTATACGAAAAACAAACGACAAAATACTGTAAAATTGGGGGAGGATTCCAGCCTGAGCAAAGCAACTAAAATATGCACGAAATGTGGAAAGAGCTTTAGTAGCAATGCTAGCCTTAATGGCCATCAAAGGATCCACACAGCTGAAAAACCATACAGTTGTGAGCAATGTGGAAAGGGCTTCGCTTTAATAGGAAAACTTAATTCTCATAAAAGGATTCACACAGGAGAGAAACCATATAAATGCACAGCGTGTGGAAAGACCTTCTGTAGCAATGCTAGCCTTAATGGCCATCAAAGGATACACATAGCTGAGAAATCATATAGTTGCATGGAATGTGGAAAGGACTTTGCTTTAATAGAAAAACTTAATGCTCACAAAAGGATTCACACAGGAGAGAAACCAAATAAATGCACGATATGTGGAAAGAACTTCCATTTCAGACATAGTCTTACCCGTCATGAGAGGATCCACAGCAGGGAGAAAAAATATAGGTGCAACAAGTGTGGAAAAAGATACTTTGAGAACAGAGCCCTTACCATCCATCAAAGGATCCACACAGGGGAGAGACCTTATAAATGCCTGGAATGTGGAAAGACCTTTTTTGACAACAAAGATCTTATTCGTCACCATAGGATCCATACGGGGGATAAGCCCTATCAATGTCTGGAATGTGGAAAGAGCTTTAGTCAGACAGGACATCTCAGTTCTCATAAAAGAATCCACACGGGGGAGAGGCCCTACAAATGTTTGCAGTGTGCAAAGAGCTTCCGTTCCAAAAGTTCTCTTAATCGCCATGAGAGGATCCACACAGGGGAGAAAAAATATAGCTGCAGAGTGTGCGGACGGGGATTTTTCGAGAACAGAGCACTTACTATCCATCAAAGGATCCACACAGGGGAGAGACCTTATAAATGCCTGGAGTGTGGAAAGAGCTTTATTGAGAAAGGAAAACTTAATTTTCATAAAAGAGTCCACTCAAGGGAGATACTGTATAATTGCATCGAGTATGGAAAGCAGAAAGAAAGTCTTACTCATGATAGAATCCATGCAGGAGAGAAACCATATACATGCAGAGAATGTGGAAAGAGCTTCTATAGCAAGACGGGTCTTAATGGCCATCAAAGGATCCACATAGCTGTGAAACCATATAGTTGTGTGGAATGTGGAAAGGGCTTTGCTTTAATAGGAAAACTTAATTCTCATGAAAGGATCCACACGGGGGAGAAACCGTATAATTGCACAATATGTGGAAAGAACTTCCATTTCAGGGGTAGTCTTAATCGTCATGACAGGATTCACAGAGGAGAGAAAAAACTTAGTTGCCAGGATTGTGGAAAGAGATTCTTTGAGAAGGGAGCCCTTACTATCCATCAAAGAATCCATACAGGGGAGAGACCATACGAATGCTCGGAATGTGGAAAGAGCTTTTTTGAAAACAAACTTCTTATTCGTCACCAAAGGATCCACACAGGGGAGAGACCATATAAATGCCTGGAGTGTGGAAAGAGCTTTACTCAGAAAGGACATCTTAATTCCCATAAAAGAATTCACACAGGGGAGAGACCTTATAAATGCACAGAGTGTGAAAAGAACTTCCGTTTCAAAAGTTCTCTTAATCGCCATGAAAGGGTCCACACGGGAGAAAAAACATACCTGCAGGGAGTGTGGATTCATTGAGAACAGAGCCCTTGCTATCCATCAAAGGATCTACGTGAATTAAACTTCATAAATGCCTGGAGTGTGGAAATAGGTTTACTCAGGCCAACTTAATTCTCATAAAAGAATCCATATTATGGAGAGACCAGATACAGCTACTCCTCGATTTACAACCATTCATTTAGTGACCATTCAAAGTTACAATGAAAAAATGAAATAAAATGAAAAAAAGTGACTTAGGCCAATTTTCACACTCATGACCGTTGCAAAATCCCAATGATCATGTCATCAAAATTCGGGTACTCGGCCACTGGTATCTACAGGTAGTCTCCAATTTACCACAGTTCATTTAGTGACTGTCCAAAGTTACAATGGCACTGAAAAATGTGACTTAACGACCATTTTTCAGTTAATCTTCACAGTATCCCCATGATCATGTGATCAAAATTCAGATCTGTGGCACTTGCTTCATATTTATGACCATGGCTGTGACCCAAGGTCATGTGATCCTCATTTGCGACCTTCTGACAAGCAAAGTCAATGGGGAAGCCAGATTCACTTAACAACCACTTACTTATAAGCTACAATGATTTACTGAACAGTGGCAAGAAAGATAAAATGGGGCTAAACTCCATTAACAAATGTCTCATTTTACCAAAACTTTGCACTCAACTGTCATAAGGATTATCTGTATTTATGATACTTGACATCCAGGGTTATGCAATTTCCATTTGTAAACTTCTGTTGTGATTTCTCGCCAGCTAGTGGATCTGCAGCTGAGTCTGAGGAATCAGATGAGCAGGAGGGGCCTGGACTGACATTAGTCAGAGGAAGGCTCTGAGGAGCTCCAAGACTTACAGTCAGATGAGGAGCCCAGCCCCTCAGGCTGAGACACAGCTGTGCTGGCAGCCTGATTTGGACAGTAATAAAGAACAGTTGGGACAAATCCAGGATGCACGAAAGTGCAGGCAAGAAAAGTGAGTAGGACAGAGGAATGCAATGGGGTGGCTCCAAAGGCAAAGGAGAAGGCATGCTTTGGCTGAATTACAAAAGGGAAGGTGTGGGAGGTGTTGGCAACCGTTTGTGTTGAGGATCGAGTTTCTGTGGATCGTGTTTGTTTGTCTTGGACATTGACTCAGGTCTGTGAGAATAAAAGGGGTTGTTTTTTTTCTTACAATTCCTGCCAGTTTCTTGGAAGAGGGGTTTCTCCTTGTGAGCATAACAAGGACTCACGTAGGCTGGGGCAGAACAACTTCCAACAAGCAACAGTTAATGTGGGAAGACAGATTCACTTAACCATACATATGGCTGTTAGCTGAACAACCCTACTTAAGAACTTCAGTGATTTAATGAACAACTGTGGCGTAAAAGGTTGCAAACTGGGACACGACAGACTTAACTGTCTTACTTAGCAACAGAAAGATCAGGCTGAATTGTAAGTTGAGAACTACCTGTATTACTGTCCTTCTCTTTGAAATATCAAAAGACTTGGTTCCATTAACTGATTTTGTTAATGGAGGTGGGGGGGGGGCTATTCCTCATGAGTATTTTTTTTTCTTTCCTGAAAAGAAACCAAAATAAAACCAAATCCAAATGTGATTTTCAATCAGGATATACGAGATTTCTGCTCTTCTCTGTGCTGTATGTACTGACTGATGCGTAAATCACATTATTGCATTGGATTTCATTATTACGCAGGAATGCTCCTATGTTCCAATGTTTTCTAACAACATTAATTGCCCAAACTTGCAAGCATTGTTTCTGCTGCTGTTGTTTTAATTCAGAGAATTATAAAGTATTTTGAGATGTTAAAATGCAGACCTGCACAGGGCAAATAGCCTAACGACAGCAATCATACTGTAAAGAGTGTTGCCTGGGCCCTGACATACAGGTATCCTCGACTTATGACCAGAAGTCAGCTCAAAATTTATGTTGCTAAGGGAGAAATTTCTTAAGTCAGTTTTGCCACGTTTTATGATTTTTCCTGCCACTTTTGTTAAGCGAATCACTGCATTTGTTCAATTCGTACCCGTTAAGTGAATCTGGCTTCCTCATTGAATTGGCTGGTCAGAAGGTTGCAAAGGTGATCACATGACCTTGAGATGTCGCAATAGTCGTAAGTGTGAAAAAGTCATAAGTCACTTTTTCGCTACTGCTGCTTAGTGTCGAATGGTCACTAAATGAACTGTTGTAAGTCTAAGACTACCAGTATAACACTGTATGCAGCAGATTAGCTCATAGGTTGTAGTGGGTTCGTGGTGTTCATAGTTTTAAATCTTTTGCTAAAGTCCTGATAAGGAATTTGTATTATTTCTTGGTTGCAGGCAGCAGAGATTCATCTGGTCTCGGCACAAGAAATCAGCCAAATTCAATGCTCTTTTAGGTATAACTGAAAAACAAGGAGGGCTGTTGCTTCTAGCGTGAGATTGCACGAGTGAATTATAAACAATAAAGATGTTCAAATTTTTGTTGTATTTGTTGTAAAACCTCAGTTTTTAATACCTCAAAGATCCATAAGCTGCTTTAGATGAAATCTTTTCTCTGAAAGATATGACATTGCAAAATGGGCCATCATTAGATCAATCGTTAGTAGAGCATATGGAGGTTGCACGTACATTAAGCAAAGCTTTCTGGATGTGTCATGAAGGCTCAGTTTACACAAGATAGCTAAGATAGTTGTCTTCCTTACTAGGAATGGAATATCTTCAAGAAACAATACTTGCCGTTACTATCATTACATCCGTAACTCTTGTACTTCGAGGTTATCTTATACCAGTGATGGCGAACCTTTTAGAGACCGAGTGCCCCATCCCCACCCATCCTGGCCGCAGGGTCACCCACCGCCTCCATGGCCCGCTACAGCAGATCGCCCAGGCGGCCCAGCAGCATCATGGCTACGCCCTCTGTCTGCACCCCGCAGCATCATCTGCACACGATGGGGCATGAGGGCGGAGTCTTGTCCTCGCTGCCCAGCTGCCATGTCCTTGGCTGTGCTGCTCCGCACAGGCTGCACCCTGGGCGACTCTGGGGCACTGCTGGTGTGGAGGGGGCCACGGGGGATGGTGGGGCTGGGGCGATGGTGTGCGTGTTTGCCCACAGAGAGAGCTCTGAGTGCTGCCTCTGGCACAGGTGCCATAGGTTCACCACCACTGTCTTATACAATGCATTCCTGCCGCACAATGCTGCCCCTATTTTTAAAAAATCTGCTCTACAACAGACACAAAATATAACTGCTGTGGAAAATATTTGAAGTTACTGTACCTGCATACATCTGTATCTTTTTTTCCAGTTCTATTTTCCTGCACTTTGTTTTGTCTGTTACAATATTCTTATTTTCCCTTTTTGTTTTCTCTGTCCCAATTTATTGAGATAGCTGGAATTGAACAGTTTTGGAAAAGAACTTGCACTGCTTACTACTCAGAAGATGAGAAACAGAACTAGTATTGCTTTCATACCCAAGGAGGTGTATTATCTCCCACCTCGTGTTTACCTTCTCAGCTAATGAGCCTCTTTCTACCCTAATCCTTCAACCTTTCAAGGCTTATTATTAGTGGGCTAATGGTGAGGTTGCTTCCTTTGAGGACTGGTAAGACAAGCAGTTCTTCCTATTTAATTTCCTTTGCAGTGTAAAGCATCAACAGGCGACTCAGCTAAGCACTTTGGGTTCATAGCCAACTACTTATACAGTAGTGGCTAAAATTGTGGAAAGCTTTTGGGAAAAGTGTACAGTAGAAATGCCACCTTTGGTTAAGTTTCCACCAATTTTTCTTCTAATTGCTTTATAACTGTAGCCTTGTTCACTTAATAATACTATTTTACATCACTTTCTGGGCAACCAGTCAATTCTTTGCACCATTATTTTAATTTTATTACATTTTACAGCTCACTAAAGGAAAGAACACAAAAACCCCAACCAACTTGATAGCCATCTCATAACACACTGACAAATGTCCTCTCAGCTTCAATACACGACATCAATAACTGAATCCTACTGTGATCTGATTGGCTTATTGCCCAAACAAGATGGCAAATGGCTTATTTCCAAAACAAGATGGCACCTGATTGGCTCTCTAAACACTCACGCTCATTAGCTACAGTCAGATGAAGGAAAGCTACCTGATATCAACCTAAGCAAGTTGTGCTTCCTTTTTCTGGTTATTTGGCTATAACTTCAGAATACAGTACAGATAATTGAACAAACTAAGTTGCATTACATTCTTCATTAAATTATCTCTCCATTGATATATAATTTTATGGTACTACTCCAAAAAAGTGGTGTTATTAGCCATCAAACCTCAAAAATACACTTTCCCCAAAAGGTTTCCACAATTTTGGCCACTACTGTATGCCTCTCTTCCAGGAGGTTAACAAGGCTAACCAGACTGCAGTAATAAATGAGACTTTTCTGTGTGCTTCCTACTGTCTCCCTGTCTGTTCTTTTTCATTTTCCTCTTAAAGTTTAGCTAAAGCCTTTTTGATAGCTTTTTCTGCTGGTGAAGAGTGAAGGGATATGAGATCTTCCCCATAATGGCAACCCGCTTGTGAGCAGTGTCATGGCAATTATTCCTCACCACTGAAGCCTCCTCTCCAGGGATGTGAGGGAAGAAATTCTTCAGTGTTAAAAAAGTCTTGGCACTTTATTAACCAACTTTTTTTTTTTAATCCGTAATCCTCTTGCCATTCCCTTCCCTGAACCTTTTCTCCCCTTATCTGAATCCATCATCATGGCTAGCAGTAACTGAGTTTGCAATTTAAACGTAGCTGGGGGGGCAAACCCAGCCCTAGTATTGTCTGATTTTTAAAAAAAAATTTGTACAGTGAACCTGATGAACTCTTCAGGAATCAACTTGGCACAGACAACCAAACCGCAAAGGTGAAGATAAAAAAATAAGATTTGGATAGCATAGAAATAGAAAACAAAACTAAAGCTAGGACAGACTTGGCTCCTGAAAAAAAAAAAAAAAGGATACCTTCAGCACAGGAATAGACAGATTTCATCCAAAGCAATCATGGCAATTAAGACAAAGAGGGCAAGTAAACTGGCCTGAAGGAATCGCCAAAGTATTTACTTGCTTATTTAATAATAAAAGAATAAATTTTACAGGCTGGACGCTTGCCTTGGGACTGCTCTGTCCATCTCTCATTTCCAGAGCTCCATCGAGTCTTTCCAAAGAGCAGATCCACATTTTTAAGATATTCAGGAAAGGAGATTTTATCCCAAAGTCGCCTTGTTTTATTCGTGCCCATCATCCCCAACTTCCTCCTCCATCTCACTTCTCTCCCTCCCTTCCTCCCAAAAATACTTCACCAACGCTGGAGTTTGAATCTTCGACGTCACAACAAAAGGGAGCATGCGCAGAAAAGTCTTGAAAGTCCGGCCGGCAGTACAGAAGCTTACGCTTTTACAGGGGGCGGGGCAGTTCTCTCGTCAAGGGGAGGAACCAACGGTCGCGTACAACGTTTTGTCTCTCTAGGACGGGTAAGGCAACTTTGGCTCTTTTCACTCGTGGACTTCAACTCCCAGAATTCCTGAGCCGAGTTGAAGTCCACGAGTCATAAAAGAGCCAAGGGTACCTCTGCTCTAGGAAGCAGCGCTTTGTGGTCCAGGCTCTGTGAGGCCTGGACGGCGCGGGAAATTTTGGCGGGAACAATTTGCAGCTTCTCTGCTGAGGTGCAGAAACCCCAAAGGAAGCGGAGCGGCCCTTGTCCCCTTCTGCAAACCGGGAAAGGGGCGGGAGATCCGCCGTAGACTGAAAGCGGCCTCGGAGGGAGTTAACCCCGTTCTGGCTGCGCCGAAGCGGGAGACGGAATGGCGACTCCGGGATCGGGAAGAGCAGCACCCCCCGCGACCCTTCAGGCGGGGAGCGGCGGCGGCGGCGGCAGTCCGAGATGCCTCCCCGAGGGGCTCCGCGACTCCGAGGCCGAACGCCGGCGCTTCCGCAGCTGCCGCCCCAGGGAAGGCGAAGGGCCCCGGGCGCTTTGCAGCCGCCTGCACCGGCTGTGCCGCGGGTGGCTGAGGCCGGAGCGGAGCGGCAAAGCCGAGATGCTGGACCGGGTGGTGCTGGAGCAGCTGCTGGCCCTGCTGCCCCCGGAGCTGGCGGGCTGGCTGCGGGAGTGCGGGGCGGAGAGCTGCGCCCAGGCGGTGGCCCTGGCCGAGGGCTGCCTGCTCGGCCCGCCGCCCTCCTCCGCCCCGCGGGAGCCTCCCGGAGAGGGCCGGCAGGTGAGAATTTCATCCTGGGCGTCCGTGCGGGTGTGTGGTTAAAGTATATCTAGAAGCGTCTGTAAGAAATCAGAAGGATGAAGAAGACGTCTGCCCAGACTTTTCTGAAACTCTAAAATATTTTCTCGACTTATTTGTTCTTGAGGGAAATGCTTCTTTTTCCTCTTGGAGATAATTCCATGGGAAGGAGGAGAAACACACACACACACACACACATACACTGAGGATGGCTGCCAGAACACACACACACACACATACACACACACACACACACACACACACACACACACACACACACACTGAGGATGGCTGCCAGAATTCCTTCAGTGCCCTATCCTTTCTCTTTTCTGTAAATGGGTGAATGAACTGAGGGACTTGTGCCATTTCAGCTGACATTCTTCAAGCTCTTCATTTTCATTTATGATATAGCAAATCTTATTTTGAAATCCTGGATTCCTGCTTCTCTTCTTTACAAACAGACACTGGGAACATACATCTCTAGAGAACGTATGTTGGTATGGGGTAATTATCTGCGGGGAATGACTTTAGGAGAGCAGGTGAAAAGTCACACTGGATAACCATCTTCTAAAATATATCTCAGTCACCCCAAGGAGACTGGGTGTGCATCTTCCTCACAAAACTACCTCAGTGTCCATCCCAAGCTCTGCCCCTGAATTGCCAAGTTGGTGGTCTCCCCACTGAGGTATAGGGAAGCCAAAAGAAAAAGAAAAGATCCATTCACTCAAGAGATAAGGTTTCAAACCTAAAGGAAAAGACTCATGGAGGAAGAGAGAACAGGCATAGGTACGTTTGGAGGAAAGGCCAAAGCTATCAAGGAGAGATAAGATCAGAATGATAAGAAATAAAGATAGGCAACGAATCATTTCACAAAAATAGCAGGCATTTACTCAAAAGTAGCAACCACTTTCAAATCAGAATCCCTGAGTTCTCTCACTTTGGCTTGGGGAATTGCAAAGGTAAGGCAAGCAAACTAACATGATTATAGTCCAATGAACGTGGATCATAAACCAGACTTCTGTTTCAAATGCAGGAGCTGTTCACAGGAGAGATCTCAACAGAGCTCCATGAAAGAGGAAAACAATGCAATCCTTCTCCAGGGCTTCTTTTCCAGAGGATCCAACTTGGGCCACTACAGCAGGTAATTAGTTTATTATGAGAGCAGCAGAGTTCAACTTCCTTCTGTTGGTCTGCTGTTTCTACAGCAGTGGCTCCCAACCTTTTGGGCACCAGGGACTTATTCCATGGAGATTCCATGATTTTTCCATGTATCAGAGAGTGTGCAGTTTTACGTGCTGCCTGCATACTATGGATGGGGCTTCACTTCTTTGTGTGGCTCAGTTGTGGCATGCTGCGGACTAGTATAGGCAAGTGCAGAATCTCTATTTAGTTGAGCAGTATCGCCCCCCCCCAATACAGGATGAATCACACTCATTCAACTTTCAAGATAATTTTAGAGATAAAGCAAGAGAGAATTCACAGCCTGAGAGGGTAGTGTTAGGTAATGTAATTTATTGTTTAATATTTTGTAATACTTCACAGAAGAGTGGAGAACCAGTTAAAAACAATAATTGCAGGAATTGAAATTATTAGAACTTTGAGAACTTTGAGTAGTAACTTTGAGAAATATTGTCTCTTAAGGACAGATTTCCCATGAAAAAGCCACATCAGTAAGACTTTTCTTAAAGCACCATTGTATTTCCAGGCCTTTTGAAATAGACTATAGAAGAAATTCCTGGTGACTGTATCCCAGACACGTCAAACACAAGGCCCGGGGGCTGGATGTGGCCCGCGAAGCCATCCTGGAAACAGTGAAGGAACGGCCCCCACTGCCTTGGCCCTGGCCCAGGTCAGCCAGGAGCCAATGTACAATTTTGTGGTGGCCATCTATGCTGAAACGCATTCAGTCTTAGCTCCACAAGGCTGTCTGGAAACAGTGAGGAACCAGCCCCTGCTGCATCAGCCTCGCCCCTGGGTGCATGCTGGGGTGGTGTCACCCTTTGTGAGGAAAGAAGAAATGCACCATCGCCTGGAAGTGGCCAGCAAATGGCCCTCGCCTACTTCACATATCCGGCTTGATGGGCTCCGGGGGAGGGGTTTCAGCAGGCAGTGAGGCTCCTCCAGTGGAACATGCCTTGGCACTTGCCCCAGGCCCACCCCCTTCTGCCAGAGACCCTCAGATCTGTCCCACTCATGCTCAGGCCCCCACAGGCACCCTTGATTTGAACGATGTAGAGCTGGCCATGCCCACCTAATAGGCCACACCCACTCCATTCACACCCACCTAGTAGACCACACTCACCCAGTAGGCCACACTCACCCTGGCCACACTCAACCCCCCCCCCCGAGGGCAACCGCAATGCTGATGTGGCCCTCAATGAAATTGAGTTTGACACCCCTGCTGTATCCTATTTTGTAAAGTAGGGGTCCCCAACCCCTGGGATGTGGCCCTCTGCCAAGCCGCAGCCCATTTGGAACAGGGCCATGGAGGTGGTGGGTGAAGGTGTATGTGCATGTACGAAGCTGCATTTGTGATAGCGCAAAACCATCCCCTCTCCCCTCTGCTGGTCCACTGACCCGGAAAGATTGAAGACTACTGTTGTAAAGAATGTAGAATTTCCTCCTGAAGTGAGGTGAGCCTCTGGGTTCTATTCCCCAAATCCTACTTGCTAAGGTTTTCCAAACCAGCAGGAGTTCCCCAGGAGTGCTGTTGCCATTCAACAACTTGAATGCAGTCATGTTTTGTGCACTTCAGAGCACCAGCTATTCAGGGTAAGAGTGACTGGCGGCTTCACAGCTACAAGGACCATGTGGACTTCCAGACGTAAATTTGTCCTGCAAGAAAATGCACATTTAATTTCTTGCAAAGCTCTGTTTTTTGCAGGGAAAAAAAGGGAAAAGAGAAAGAGGGAAAACGTCTTTCTGGGACTGTCTGCTATACAACATTTTCATTCTAGGGCTCTGATCCCTTTGAGGAGGTCACTGTGAATTTCACAGAGGAGGAGTGGGCATTGCTGGATTCCGGCCAGAGAGCCTTGTGCAAAGAAGTCACCCTGGAGGCTTTTAGGAATATTGCAGCCTTGGGTAAGGCTTCACTTTGCTGTGGGTTCAATTCCTTGGGGAAGGATGGTTTTTTTGAGTGTCAGGTAAACAGGGAAGATATCTACAGTTAAGCTGGTTTAGGTGATCACCTCTCCTTAAAGCAGTGGTTCTCAACCTTTTTAATGCCGCGACCCTCCCCCCAACCGGTCGTAAGTCGAGGACTACTCAACCGGTCGTAAGTCGAGGACTACTCAACTGGTGCAGCACCATTTGCAGAATGGGACTTTTGGCGGGCTCAGCAGGGCAGAGACAGCCTGGACAATTCCTATTGGCTTTTGAAAGCCAATAGAATTAGACTCTATTCAAGAGAGTCTATTCTATTGGCTTTCAAAAGCCAATAGAATAAAAGGGAGTAGCACAGCTAAGGAAAAGGGGGAAAAAATGGCGGACTGAGTTGTTTGGTGACCCCCGTGAAATGGTCATTTGACCCCAAATGGGGTCCCGACCCACAGGTTGAGAACCACTGCCTTAAAGCCTTGCTCACCACAGATTAGGAAAATGCACGGGATTGTCCAATCAGCTGTGAAGTCTTAATCTGGTTCCCACCTGAAAAATCCCTTGGATTGCATCAGAATTACCTAGTTAACAATTTGCATCCAACACCTCTAGGCTGGATTCATGTATGATGCCATACCTGGAATGCAGATTGGCATGTTTTTAAGAGAAGATCCTCCTCCTTGATAGCTGTTTTTTTTTAAATAAATAATTTTATTAAGGATTATCTTAAACAGATAAAACACACAAATGTAATACTAAAAAGAAAAAAAATATTTAGAAAACAGAAGCATCTCCATACCTATGTTTGTATATATATATGAAGGAAATTTTCCCCTTCATCTCCAACAAGTCTGTTCAACATTAACAACTCGTCTCTGTCTTTTAAAATAAAAGCAAAATAGTTCATCATTCTGTATGTCACACAATATTCTGCAAGTGCATCACTAATCTTCAGCTCTTCTTACTATTCAGCAAAGATCCAGTAAAAATTAATAAAAATACTTAATAACATAAGTAGTTAATAATATAGTCCCATTTCAACTTAGTCTACTTTTACCCATCTCTCTTTTAACAAATAAACTGGAAAAAAAACTATTAAACATTACTAAACCTCATATAATTTCTTGTTTCAATATAAAAAATTATCCATCAACCCATTAGGCATTTATAAAAGAAACATTACCCAATACAGATAACGATTTAGCGTCACCAGAAATTACTTCATTACTTCACCATAATCGGCAAAACCAATTTTATCTTTATATTTTTCCTTACCAGCAATATTGTTTTCCAAAAATATATTTCTTCCCAACAATCCTTAAATCCCATAAATATTTTTTCTTATATCTTTTTCTTTTCTATCCAAATTTTTATCCTTCAAGTGGACTTGTAATTTCCCTGAAATATCTCTAATAAATTTCTTATATTTCAATTGAAAACAGTATCATCCAGTTGCATTTGTAATTCCATTGAAGCCTTGTCAGTTGTCTCCAGAGGGATTTGTTAGGTCTCAGTAGTAGCCTCTGCTTCCATTAAAGAGATAAAAGGATCAAAAACTTCAAAGGCCATAAATCAGACATTTCCTTTAAAATAGCCCTCTTGTGCTCTGGTAATCAACCTTTAAGATTTTGCTTTATAATTCATACAAGACATATTTTTCCATAAAAGATGCTCTTTCTAATTAACTTCATAAACTTTAAATCAGATTCTTAAAGAATTTAAAAGCTTTCCAAACACAACTCTAAAATTACTTCTTGCCTATATATTGCAATAGATTACAAAAAATAAAGACTTTAGAAAGCCATGATATTCTCTATAAAATGGACTGAGAATGCCACCAAGCAACTGATAAGTGAGTTACATTTACATTTCAGAGCATGATGCAACCCACAACTTTTAGCTGATCACAAGTGGCTCCATAAGGACAGGTTTTGCTATCCGCTTACAAAAATCAACAGTGTAAAGTTCATATGGACAATCTCCAATTCTCTCTTCTAGAAATATTTTCGGCAGTTGAATCTTGACAGCCACCTGCCAAATTTGGTAAAATGACCCCACAGCAAAAAGGGGGATTTGGTTCTCCTTACCCCAGAAGAACTTATCTCCCCCTCCCTCACAGTTCTCAATTCCAACAGGGATTTCTGTTTTCTTCTTTCCAAGCAGGTGATGCAATGGAGGAGAAACAGGAAGGGTTAATGCTGCTGCAAACAGCAAATTATGAAGGAGAAATGACATTTGACCATCAAGGGAATCCAAAGAGACAAGAGAGAATTCACTCAGGAGGGGAAAGGCCCTCCACATCTCATCATTTCTTTTGTTTTAATTTACCTAAGAATCTTCATAAGAAACATAAACCACATAACACAGTAATATTAGGAAATGATTCCAGTCTGAGCAGAGAAAGTAAAACATGCATGAAGTATAGAAATAACTTAAGTAGCAAGGCTACTTTTAACGGCTATCAAAGAATCCACATAACTGAGAAGCCATATAAATGTGAGGAATATGAAAATGGTTTTGATTTAATAGAAAAACGTAGTTCTGATGAAAGGATCCAGACAGGGGAGAAACCATATAAATGTATAGAGTGTGGAAAGAGCTTCCATTTCAGGAGTAGGCTTACTTACCATGAGAGGAGGCACAGAGGGGAAAAAAATCATAGCTGCCAGGAGTGTGGAAAGAGATTCTTTGAGAAGGGAGTCCTTGTTATCCATCAAAGGATCCATACTGGGGAGAGACCATATAAATGCCTGGAGTGTGGAAAGGGTTTTTTTGAAAACAAACTTCTTATTCGTCACCAAAGGATCCACACAGGGGAGAGACCATATAAATGCCCGGAGTGTGGAAAGAGCTTTACTCGGAAAGGACATCTTAATTCTCATAAAAGAATCCACACAGGGGAGAGACCCTATAAATGCACAGAGTGTGGAAAGAGCTTCCATTTCAAAAGTTCTCTTAATTGCCATGGGAGGAGCCACAGAGGGGAGAAAAAACATAGTTGCCGAGTGTGTGGAAGAAGATTCTTTAACAAAAGTGCCCTTAATATCCATGAAAAAATCCACACAGAGGAGAGACCTTATAAATGCTTGGAGTGTGGAAAGCAGTTTACTCAGAAAGGAAATCTTAGTCATCACGAAAGAATCCACACAGGAGAGAAACCATATAAATGTGCAGAGTGTGGAAAAGGATTTTGTAGCAAGCCTAGTCTTTATGGTCATCAAAGGATCCACATAGCTGAGAAACCATGTGGTTGTGAGAAACATGGAAAGGGGTATGCTTTAATAGAAGAATTAAATTCTCATAAAAGTATTCACACAGGAGAGAAACCATATAAATGCACAGAGTGTGGAAAGAGCTTCCACTTCAGGCGTAGTCTTAATCGTCATGAGTGGATCCACAAAAGAGAGAAAAAATACAATTGCAATCATTGTGGAAAGAGCTTTTTTGTGAAGAGAGACCTTAACGTCCATCAAAGGATCCACACAGGAGAGAGAATGTATACATGCACAGAGTGTGGAAAGAGCTTCATTAGAAACACTCATCTGGCTCGTCACCAAAGGATCCACACAGGGGAGAGACCATATAAATGCCTGGAGTGTGGAAAGTGCTTTATTGAGAAAGGACATCTTAATTGTCATATAAGAATTCACACTGGGGAGAAACTGTATAAATGCATGGATTGTGGAAAGGACTTTATTCAGAAAGGAAATCTTAATTCTCATAAACGAATCCACGCGGGAGAAACCGTATAAAAATAAGGTTTGTGGAAAATAGTTTGCTCATAAAGGAAATCTTTTTGTGAAAGTATCCACACAGGAGAGAAAGCATATAAATGCACAATGGGTTTGAAAAGAGCAATCTTTTCCAAAGTTCTCGTAATTGCCATGAGGGGATCCACACGGGAGAAATAACCTTGCTGCAGGAAGTGTGGAAAGAGATTCATTAAGGGAGCCCATTATCCTTCAAAGAATCCACAATGGATAAAATGTATACAGTATATGTCAGGAGTGTGGAAATAGGTATACTCACTAAGGACAACTTAATTCTCAATCCAAATTGTGGAGACACCATATTTGAGGGGGGCAAACTTTTCCAAAGCACAGAGAAGCTAAGCCAAGAACCAATGGATGGAAACTAATCAAGAACAGAAGCAACCTGAAATTAAGGAGAAACTTCCTAACAGTGACAGAAGTTAACCTGTGGAACACCTTGCCTTCAGATGTGGATGCCCCATCACTGAAGGCTTTCAAAAAAAGACTGGATAGCCATTTGTCTGAAATGGTATAGGGTCACGTCTTCAAGTAAGGCATTGGACTTTCCAACTCTGTTATTCTGTGTTCTATGATTCACTTAAGAACTGCAATGATTTGCTCAACTGGCATAAATGATTAGAAACTGGAGTATGAATCAAGCGTTTGCAATAGTGGCAAATATCTGTAGCTCAGGTGTAGGATGAGGGTGAAAGTTCGTTCTCCGAGCTTGTGGATTGGTTTCTGAATATTTCATTACCAGGTTAGGTAACATCTTAATAGCGGCATTTAGTGGATGTCTCTGTCAGTGTTCCACTGTTTATAAGGGCTTCAGGTGTGGGAATGTCACTTAACTGTCTTGTGGAGCAGCAGTGGTACAGTGGTTAGAATGCAGTACTGCAGGTTAATCCTGCTGACTGCCAGGTGATTGCAGGCAATTCGATTCTCACTGGCTCAAGGTTGACTCAGCCTTCTGTCTTTCTGAGGTTGGTAAAATGAGGAGCCAGATTTGTTGGGGACAATATGCTGACTCTAAACCGCTTAGAGAGGGCTGTAAAGCTCTGTGAAGTGGTACATAAGTTTTAAGTGCTATTGCTAAGCAACAGAAATGTTGGACTGAATCATAGTTCTAAGTTGAGAACTTCCTTATTAATTTCCTTTTGAAATAAATATCATTAGACTTGATTCCAATAACTGATTTTCTTGTAGGGAGGGGCTGTTCCTTATAAGCAAATGTTATTTTCCTGAAATGTAAAGCCTTTATACATCAGCATTGAGCCACTTATAAAGCAGACCTGCTTGTTATTCCAAATGTGACTTTAAACCAGGATAAGGGATGTCCTATTGCTGTTGATTTCATCATTATGCAGAATATTTCATTGCCCCTATATTTGTTTTAATCCAGAGAAGTATTTGGAGATGTTAAAATGCAGACCTGCATAAGGCAAACATAACTGAAATTCCTATTTAAACAATTGTTGCCTGGGACTTGATACACTATATGCAACAGATTAGCTCAGGGGGGCTTCCAGTTTGCCGATAAGGTTGCCATGGACGCCTGGAAAGTGAGCTCTGTCTTCCACGTCCGATTTTGCACTGCTGGGGGACCCTGGAAAGGGTCGAAAATCGCCCTGTAGGGGCGACTAGCAAAGAGGGGGTCCTTGTGGGAGGGCAGTAACCCTTCAGTTTGATCCAGGGTAGCCCTCCATACCGGCAGACGAAAGACCGGCCATAGAAATATGGCTCGTCACTAGGCTGCAGACAGCCAAAGTCAAATTTACCATCAGGCAACTATAAAACAGCACAGATGAGGTTGGGTGAGATCTACCTCTCTTAAATCCTAACTATTTTTTCTACCTGCATAAGCTGCTCAAAGTACTTTCCCCCCTGTGGAGATGAAAGGGAGATTCTACCCCTCCCTCTGAAAACAGTGGCGACTGACTATCCAGAGGCGTTTAAAACAGTGCAAGAATAACCTGAGTCTAATTGGATTTTTATCTTTTTAAAATTTGTGGGCTACAAGATTTTTTATTCTTATTGAAGATCTGGGTTTTTACTTATAAAAAAGAAATAAAATTGAAAAGATTATAAAAATGTTGGACTTAAAAGAAAACTCTAATTGGTATGGGCAACATCTTGTGGCTAAACCTGATATTACAACTGGTTGCTTAAAAGAGACTTGGTTTATAGCCCAGAGACTATAGATAAGACTTTTGTAACCTTGACAGATATCAGCTGTGTTCTATACTCAGTAACATCTTTTTTACATGGACTAATTGTAAAGCTTTTAACTTAACACATTACTAAGAAAACATGGAGGAAGATTAGGAACAAATTCTCTTTATGTTGAAAGCAATTCATGAAACTATTCTTACAGCTACTGATGAAATAAGGAGTTACAGAAAAGAACAAAATGTCAGCCTAGATATACGAACCTAAAATTTGATTACAACTAAAAAAATCAACTACAGAGAATATAATAGAAGAAGTGGAACAATTAAATACCATGACAGAAGATTCAGCTGATCAACACAGTTAATGGTAAACCCAGAAAAGAGACTGAAAAAGGGAAAAGACTTTCTATATAAACCAGAAGAAACCTGAGGATGAAGAAGAAGAGAAGATAATCATCTCAGGACAACTACGTTGAGTTGGAAAAATAGTCGATTTGTTAGTCCTTTCAAAAAAATGACGACCGGATGGCTTTTTCTACTTCAAACAACATACATAACAATACAGGGAGATTTATTTGATGACTTAAAAGCATAGACATGGAAGACGACTTGACAAATAAAGAAAGCTAGAATAAGACTGAAGAAACTTGGGGTTTTGACTTATCAGTGAGAATTAAAATAGAACATACTCAGATAGATAAGATGTATATTTTGAATACTAAATTTTGTTATGAGTTGATATAAAGAAAACCTTGGTCATTTAAAACTTGGAAGTATAAATATTAACAGTTAAATTTGAATATTAATTTGCTTATAAAGGTTAAATGTAAAGGTAATATATATATATTATATATATATATATAAGCTAAAAATCTACTGATGAATGTAATAAATATATTTTTACTTAATAAAATCCATTACCTTAAATATGAGATAGTAATAATCTCATATATGTAATAATATGTAATAATAAAATCTATTAGCTTAAATATGAGATAGTAGATATTAAGAGAAAAAGAAAGGAAGTATTAAATGTTGTAATAAGAGAAATTTTGGTTACTAAATTTAAGATGTTTGGAAATTAACAGAAAATAAGAATGTTATACTGTATTATTAATTAGTTGATGTAAGATGGTGAGAAATAGAATATATTCAAATAGATAGACGTGTATCCAGAACATTAGATCTTGTGATGAATTGTGATAAAGGGAACTGGTGTTATTTAAAACTTGGAAATTATAAATATTAAATGTTAAATTTAAATATTAATGGGAAACTAAAAATTGGGAAAAAACTAAGTAGGACATTGTCTATAAAGATTGAATGTTAAAATAACTAGGATATATATAAACTAAAAATTATTGATAAATGTAAGAAAGTTATTTTTAATTGATATAATAAGAATTGTATTAGTTTAAATATGAGCCAGTAAATACTAAGAGGAAAAAAGAGGAAATATTTAATGTAACAGTTTGAGATCTGTACTAAAGATACCTGTATGTTATTGAATTATTGATTAACTCAGCTGCCACGTTGCTTTTTAAATATTTAAATGTAAAACTAGAAAATCAATAAAATTTTCTTTAAAAAAGAATTAGCTCAGGGGTTCCCAACCCCCGGTCCATGGACCGGTACTGGGCCACAGCATGCCAGCAACTGGGCCACACTGTTCCTGCACTTTTAGTTTTGTCTGTTATTCTTTCCTTTTTATTTTTTCTGCCCCAATTTATTGAGATAGCTGGAATTGGACAGTTTTGGAAAAGAAATCATACTCTTTAGGATTCAGAACTTGAGAAACGAAGAACTGGCATTGCTTTCATACCCAAGAAGGGATATTATCTCCCATCTCATGTTCACCTTCTCAGCTGAACGGCCCCTCCACCTACCATCTTTTTTTCACCTTCCAAGGTCCCCTGCCAATTAGTGGGTTTAGCTAATTTTATGTTTCGGCTGCTTCATTAGGAATTAGTTAAGACAAGCAGTTCTTCCTATTTACTTTTCTTTGCAGTTCACCTCTTTGCTTCCTTACTAAGCCTAAAGAGCAAACTCACAGGTACCATGCCTTGGCCTTGGCGCAGGGGTAGGCAACCTTGGCTCTTTTATGACTCGTGGACTTCAACTCCCAGAATTCCTGAGCCAGTATGGCTCAGCTTGGAAACCTCTCCCTTTCTGTTCAGCATGGCTGGCTCAGGAATTCTGGGAGTTAAAGTCCACGAGTCATAAAAGAGCCAAGGTTGCCTACCCCTAGCCTAGGGTTTGTAGCCAGTGCTTACACCTCCCTTCCAGGGAGCTTAACTTGCAGTAATATAACAAGCCAAAAACAGAACAAAAAGACCAAAGCTGTCAGCTCCCAGATGTGCATAGATTTACCCCAAAATTAACATAGGACCATAAACCAAGAAGTAAATTGTTCCAATCAAGAACTGCAAAAAAAAAAAAAGCTCAAAGTAAGCAGCTCAGCTAAAGAGCCTCCCAGACTTCTCCCAGCACACAGAGGGGGCAAGGCGGCAGAACAGAGGTCCCCAACCTTGGCTGCTTTATGACTTGTGGACTTCAATTCCCAGAATTCCTCAGCCAGCATGGCTCAGCTTGGAAACCTCTCCCTTTTCCCTCAGCATGGCTGGCTCAGGAATTCTGGGAGTTGAAGTCCAAAAGTCCGTAAAGCGGCCAAGGTTGCAGACCCCTGCAAGTAGAATATAGACTAATGAAAAGACTGCAAGAAAACCAAGCTCGGGGAAAAGAGATCCCTTCGGTCGCTTTTCCGGCATCACAATGGAGCGGAGCATGCGCAGAAGACGACACCGATCCCCGCTGTGCAGCGGAGAGTTCGACAAGTAGAGGGAAGCTCTCGCCAAGGCGTAGTCGCGTACGACGTTTTACCTCTCTGGGAGGCAGAGGGGGCGGGGAAAGCGGAGCTGCCCCCTCCCTTCCTGGAACTGAGCAGAAAGGGGGGGGGACGGACTGGAGGGAGCCTCGGCTGTGGCTTCTGGTCCCCGATCTCCGACCGTCGCTGGACCTGCTGGTGGCGGGGGGGGGCAGTAGGAACGAGCGTCGCATCGGGGGCGGCTCTCCCCTTTTCGGATCCCCTTTGGCTGCTTCTCCCCTGCTGGACCCGGAGAGGATTTTGCTCTCTTTGAAGCGCAACGTTGGAAAGGGCGGCGCGGGGACCCTAGTGGACTCATCTGGACAGCCTCGGGGAAGGATCGGACAGCTGTGACCGAGAGCGGCCTCGGAGGGAGCTTCCCCCGTTTGGGCCGCGCCGAAGCGGGAGGCCGGATGGAGGCCCCGGGGGCGGGAGCAGCAGCGGTCCCCGCAGCTCTTCAGGCGGGGAACGGAGGTGGAGGGGAGTCCGGGGGAAGCGGCAGCGGCCCGAGAGGCCTCCCCGAGGGCCCCCGCAACTCTGAGACCGAGCGCCGGCGCTTTCGCAGCTGCCGCCCCCGAGAGGATGAGGGGCCTCGGGCGCTCTGCAGCCGCCTGCACCGGCTGTGCCGCGGGTGGCTGCGGCCCGAGCGGAGCGGCAAAGCCGAGATGCTGGACCGAGTGGTGCTGGAGCAGCTGCTGGCCCTGCTGCCCCCGGAGCTGGCGGGCTGGCTGCGGGAGTGCGGGGCGGAGAGCTGCGCCCAGGCGGTGGCCCTGGCCGAGGGCTGCCTGCTCGGCTCGCCGCCCTCCTCCGCCCCCCGGGAGCCCCCCAGAGAGGGCCGGCAGGTGAGACAATTTGACCCCGAGGGATGCCTGGGATGGTGTTTTTATTTAGCAGCCTCTGTCAGAAATAAGAGACATTAAGAAGACCTCTGCACTTCTTGGGACTCTTCATCCTTTGAGGGCTTACTTGTTCTGGAGGCAGATGCTTCGTTTTCCTCTTGGTGATAATTTCATGGGACGAAAGAGAAATTCAAGCCTCTTTCCGTGCCCCCCACCACCGCCCATCCTCAAAGGATGAAAGAGGCTTCAGAGTTTTGGAGAGATGGCTGGAATCCCTTTTCCACTAGACCCCCCTTCCTTTCCCTAATGCAGGATTTTATTGAGGCACTTTTCAGTTCAAACTGATATTATTCAAACTCTTCAGCCTCTGTTCCGATATTGTGAAGCTTCTTTTAAAGTTATGCAGACTTCTGTTTCTCTGCTTTAAAAGTAGCCACTGTGAAGAGACGTCTGGAAACTGGTGGTGTCTCTAACCTTGGTGACTTTAAGACTTGTGGACTTCAACTCCCAGAATTCTTCAGCTAGAATGGCTGGCTGGGGAATTCTGGGAGTTGAAGTCCACAAGTCATAAAGTTGCCAAAATTGGAGACCTCTAATATAGAAGATGCATGCTGGGATGGTGTAATGGTCTGTTGGAAGGGGGAAGTGCCACAGAATGGACAACCATCATGATCCCTTGCGTAAGGAAACAAGCAGGATGGGGGGGGGGATGTTTTAGTTTACCTGAGAGTAAAAGGACAGGAGGGGAGAAATACTTTCAAGCTTGCAAGACTTTGTTAATGTGGTCTTGGCTTTGATCCCAAGGTGTATCCACGAACTGTCAGCCTGGAGGTCTCCTCCCTGTCATAGCAAAACTAAACAAAAAGAAGGGGAGATTCATCCCATTCCTCTCAACTCCTAATGGTCCCTAAATCTAACAAAAAAAATATTCCCAGAGGAAGAGCTAGACCTGGCATACATACATCCACAAAGGAGGAAAGGGATGGCTAGGGGAGAAGATAAAGAAGCAACTCCTGATTAGAATGAAAAGAGGAAATAAAGACAGTCAATGAAACATTTCACAAAAATGGCAATCGTTTACCCAACTATAGCAGCCATTTTCAAATCAGAATCCTTGAGTTCTCTCAGTTTGGAGAAGTGCAAGTGGAGAGTCAAAAGGTAAGGCAAGCAAACTAACATGGTAATAGTCTT